TTTGGTAAACACAGAAAGGTTTTTTACGGTTTACATTTTTAATAGCTCTTTTTAGCCCAAGTGGACTAAATATTTCTGCAGCAGAGAGGGATTTTTCAATCTGACTATGAATGTTGTCACATTCTTGAATGCTGGAATGACCTGGCTTGCAGAACTTCTGTTCAATTACTTTTATTTGTGAGTATCGTATTATAAATTCACACAAAGCTGCTGACATGAAACTATTGCGGTTTTGTGGTACACATGAATCGAACCAAAGTATGAACTTATTTATGTCAAGGTCAGCCATGATTTTCAAAAGCAAACATGTTACAGCACTGGCTAGATCATTTCCTCCACGACCAGTCATGGCTTCGTGCCAAAGGATGCAATAACCCTTCCTGTTAAGCGAGCAATGACCAGTTAAGTTATAATTTGAAAGTTTTCGTTTGTAATAAAAGTTTCCCACATTAGCTCTAGGCAAATTTAAAACATTTTCAAGGTCAATACAAACAATTGCAGTTTTAGAATCAACATTTTGGCGATCATTTTCACGTTCAGTTTTGGTATCATTCCTTGATTTTATGTGCTTATTATAACTATCTGTTTGTTCATTGCTTGCATTAACAATGTTGCGATACTCATAGCATGTGTCACATAAATCTTTCTTCGGTTTTTGAAATTCTATATTGAACTCGTGATTAAAGATATAACGATACATATGTTCTTTTGCTGGAGGAGAGACATTTTCATCACAATATATTTTATAAAGATCATACATTCTACCTATATTTAGTGATCCTTCCATGTATTCTTTATGTGTCTTTTTCCTGCTATAATGAGCATCAATTCTTGGGAAAAGGTTAATATGGTCTCGTACAACTTGTTTAGACTCTTCTAGTAACCTTTTTTTAACATGTTTCCCTGATTTTGATTGCAATGGTGTTCCAGTAGTTAAAGATTTATTAAACTTATGAAAGTAAAACACTCTATGGCTGCTAATATTCAATGTTGAAAGATAATATGATTTACAAACTCTATATTGTGTATTAGAAACAAAAAAGCTATAATAATAAGATGTTTTTCTTCTTGAATTGTCACCAGCAGCTGTCCGACAGCGTTTTTTCTCCAGATTTTCAGTAGTTTTAGAATAGAAATGTTTTTTTCCGTCATCATCTAAGGTCCAAAAGTTATCAAATATTATTTGACGCTCAATCTCAGATATATTGGTAGAACATTTAAATTTACAATTTCTGCAACTTTTTAGTGCAACAATAGATCTTTTTGGCATTTGTTCTCCTTTCGTATTTTTATAAGCTTTACCCGACTGACGTTGGATTTTTCTTACACTTTGTTTCCAACTACTCCTATCAGCTTTACGTTTCCTAGAAACCCCACCATGGGGCGACCGACGAGAAGGTGTAATGCCAAGCAGCTCTAACGATTAAAATATTAATTTTTTATTATCCAGGATGTATAAATAATAACTTTTAAATTTAATCTAAAATGGCACAAGCGAAAGTCGAATTCTACTTTTCCAAAATTATAATACAAATTAAGTTGAAAAACTACCTTCGTTTTGATTTAGGGCAGGTTCCATTTCTTGGTCAATATTTGCAGTTGCCATTTTGAAAACAACAAAACTGATAAAATTATTCCGAACAACTTTGTAATTGTAATATGATTGGTTGATTGGAGACAAGATAATATTTTCAAGTTTGCTCATTAAGGAGATAGAACAATGCAATATTGCATGCAATACCGTGTTAAAAGTTTCATTTTTTTTCAATATAATTAAAGTAGAACAACACAATGCTAAAATATTCGAAAATAAATCTCAATTTTTTCAAAAATTGGAGATAGCACAAGATAATTCTAACGTCGCGATATGTGTCTGTGTGTCTGTGTAAATTATGTTATTATATTTCACAAATAAAGTTCTCAATGCTCTCAAATGCGTATAAAGTAGAGAGCACTAATAAATTAGTAAAAAACACTTATGTAATTTTGTATTCAATTCGTACTTTTACCGTCTGTATACAGAAGGTAAAAGTGCGAATTGAATACAAAATTAAAAAGTACACACACATACTTTCTGATACTATAGTATCATAAAGTATCCTGGTCAACTTGCAGAGAAGGTGAAGCTACTTAAATATAATAAATAGATTAGTTTTTTTTACTAAATCATACATATAAAAGATTAAAAAGCTTCAGCATGTTCAGAGGATTTATTTCATGTATTCATTCAAATGTATCATGATCCACCCGCGGAAGACTGGGTTCTGTGTTACAAATGTAAGTCGTGGTTTCACAAGAAGTGCACAAGTTGTGCAAGCACATTCGGAGGCTTTCTCTGTGATTTTTGTACTTAATTAATGGATGTAACAATTTGTGACATTAATATTTGACACTTTATTCATGTAACATTTTATTTGGTTTGAATAAAATTTATTGATATTTGTTTCTTTAACGTTGCATTTTTTTAAAATTTTATTCAATAATGTTTTAACGCTTCAATCAAGTTTGATTTACTTTGATAATGTAAAAAATCATTGCGAAATTTGGAAAGGTATTAATAATCTAATTAATGTCGAAAATTATAACAGCTCATCTCCCAACTGTTTACAAAATAATGATAGATATTTAACTGAACCAACTCTCTGCAAAATTTAACACTTTTTTTTACAAATGTTACTCATAAACTTAAATCCAATATTCATTCGTCTTACGTCAACTATTAAAATCTATTAAATATCCAAACTTACATAGTCTACTCTTATCTCCAACAAACATTTCTGAAATTTCATCTCTTATATCTAAATTGAAGCCGAGAAAATCATTAGGTCCAAACAGTATTCCTACAAACATTCTTATTGATTTTAACTACGAATTTTCAAATATTCTCTCTAAACTATTTAACATCTCATTGATGAATGGAACTTTTCCTACCATTTTAAAATTTTCTTGTATTATTCTAATTTTCAAAAACGGCTCTAAACTTCTATGTACTAACTGAAGACCTATTTCTCTTGTATCTAACATTAGTAAGCTTCTTGAAAAATTAATGCATTCTAGAGTGTACTCTTTTAACTGTTTAAATGAGTTTCAATTTGGTTTTCGATCAAACCATTCTACCTGCCACGCACTGATAAGTATAACTGAAAAGATTAGAAAAGCTCTTGATACTAGTCATTTTGCTTGTGGTGTTTTTATCGATTTATAAAAAGCTTTTGATACCGTTGATCATAGCATTTTGATTTCTAAGTTAGAACATTATGGAATTCGTGGAGTTGTAAGTGATTGGTTTCGATCTTATCTTTTGGACCGGAAACAATATGTAAGTATTAATGGTTATACTTCTAGTAACGAACGCGTTACATGTGGTGTTCCTAAAGGTTCCGTTCTTGGTCCTCTTTTGTTTTTAATTTACATTAATGATCTAAATAACTCTGTTCACTTCTCGTCTGTTCATCTATTTGTAGATGATACCAATCTCTTGCATGTCAACAAACCATACTATTCTCTATATAAAAATATAATTTCAGATTTTAAAGGTATAGTTCATTGGTTAAATGTCAACCTAATATGTCTTAACACCGTAAAGGTTGAACTAATTTTTTTTTTCATCTCCTAGAAAAAACTGTCACAACAACAGAAAAAACTGTAACAATGTTGAAATTAAAATCAAAATAAATAATAAACAACTATAGAGTTGTTTATTATTCGAGAGTTATTAAATATCTTGGTGTGTTAATTGATTGCAATCTTTCGTGGAACTTCCATATCGATGAGCTGCGCAAGAAACTTAATCGTGCAAATGGTATGCTTTCAGTAATTTGACATCATGTCGATAAAGTTACTTTTTTAAATATTTACTATCCATTATTTTCATCTCATCTTAGTTATTGTTATAAAGTTTGGGGTCAAACTGGCAACTATCATATTAACAAACTAATGTCATCTGAACGCCAATCCATTAGAATAATAAACTTTCAACCTTTCAAATCAGATACATCAAATTCTTTTAAAAAACTTAAAATTCCAACCTTTCATTTGCTAGTGACGTTTGCTAATCTTCTTTTTGTTTTTAACTCCCTAAATAAAAATTTACCTTCTTCTATCGCAAACCTTTTTATAGAAAGTAGACTAATTCATACACACTCTACGCGAAATATAAATAATGGAAATCTTATTGTACCATCATATAAAACTCATAAGTATGGTAAGAATTCTGTTGTGTATCAGTGCATCTGTGAATGGAACAAGAGTCTTGTGTGCATTGTGAATGAGTTCAATAAACTCCAAATCCAAACTCCTTTTCTTAACCTTAATCAAAATTAATTAAAAAAAATTCTGAAAAATATTTTGTTATAATTTTTTTATATTGTTGTTGTTGATCAATATTTTATTCGCTATTAGCCAATAGTGTTCGTGATTACCCCACGGTATGTTCGGAATTACCCCACGTACGTAGGGTAATTCTGAACACTGAAGGTTTTGTTTTTGATCGAATTTTTTATTTTTTAATAAGATATATGAAAACTGCTTTTGAGTGTTTCTAACCGAATGGTTAGACTAAATAATAATAAGCAATAAATATCATTGATATATAGTAATAATTGTCTTTAATTCGCATTCCCGCTTAGCTGTTCGCCATTACCCCACTCTCCTCTATATACTTAGTTATAATTGGCTGAAAACCTTAGGGGATTGAATTGGTGCATAAAAAGATGGTTTATTCGTAAAAACTTGTTTGGCTCAGTTTATACATCAAATAAAAAAGATATTGCAATTACCCTGAAAAAAAATTTACGTCCCACTTCTCCCCACTCTCCTCTATTATTTCAAAGAACAAATTTGTATGAATTAATAAAATTAAATTTGAAAAAATTTTCAACGCATGAGTAGATGTTACGCGTAAACATATGCTTATTATAATGGATGGGGCAAATATGTCCCATTCTCCTCAAAGGTTAATCAACACGTTCCGGATATAGGACTTTTGCAAACAAAACGCATTTTTTTTAAAGAACTGATATAAAAATAATTTACTTTTGTTTAAAAAAAACTGTTCGCAGTTGACAATTGACATTATAAAGTTTAAGAAATAAGTGTCATTAGTTGCTTAGCAACAGCAGAATCCATAGCCTCTATAGCCTCATTAAATAGAAGTTCACCATATGAAGTCTTACATTCGTTAAGAACATTTCGACAAAAGTCGTGAAAAACAATAGTGTGTGCAGGGTCCTTTGATAATATCTAAAAAAAAAACTTTAATGTTAGAAAAAGTCAATTTAAAATAAATAAATAGCAAATAATTCCTTATAAAAATGTTAATTCAATATAAAAATAATAAAGCATTAAAAGTAAAAAAAAAAGTATAAAGAAAGTATATAGCTGCATTATAATTTGTATACCTCACGATCTCTGCAAGATACAGCGTCTGTGCTTTCATCGTCTCTATCTTCTCGATCCGTGACCAAATAACTAAATAGATTATGAAAATGAATTCCAATAAACTGCTAAAAAATGCCTATATCGGTCCACTGCAAATCCACAAAAACAATGTTTGCTAGGATTTGTTTAAAAATATGAAAATTTTTTCATAGAAAGCTTGTAATAAAAAAATTAAAAAAAAACCTTTAACATCTTTGTAAACTTTTTTGGCTTTTAAATACCAAAGATAAATTATATAACAAATAATCAAATGTATATCACTGACGTTTATAGAATTTATTACCTTTTTTTCTATGTAAGTCATCAAAAACACGTAAAAATTATACCATCTATTGTTAATCTCAATGGCGAAATAAAGAAATCTCTATTTTTCTAAAATTTTAAAACTGTAAAAAACTTTGAACTTTTAGGTTTTACTACAAAATAATTCAAACAAGAAATCAAGCCTTCAGACCTCTGATCAAAAAACATTCATTTTTATCAGATGATAACTTTGGAATGAAAAGTAAAGTTATGAATACTGAGATAAAAAAGTGGCAATAAGATGTGTTGGTATGTTTTTATTGTTTAGAGAAATTGAGAGCAGAGTATGTCATGAGAGCAAAGTAGGTCAAGAGAAGAAGGTATCCAGTGAAGATCATGGCGTTTTGTACATATTTATACAGTGAAGATCATGGCGTTTTGTAAAGCATTTTTATACAAAAAAAAAAAGGTGAATACAGATGTCAGAAAACTTTGATGTTTCTACAAGAGGTGAAAATCAGAAAACTTGGAAAGAGTGTGCCTTAAACCTCTTGATTGTGAGTTGAGAGATCTCCCACTATTCAACGTAGTTAAGGAGAGAACATTTCTTAAAAAAAAAATTTACGTTTTTAAACTTAAATTTTTTGTGTTTTTTGCTTATTTGCGACCATTACTATTATATATTTTAAAAAAGTAGAATTTAGGCTTTTCTTATTATTTTTTTATAAATCTTTTTTCAACCAAAGTATCAAACAAAACAAAACTACCACTAAAATACAAAAAGACATTTTTTGAATGTAAATACATTAAGTATTTACATTCCAAAAAAGGCCCTTTTATTCGAAAGTAAAAAGTCTCTTTGTTTACAGCATTAAAATATTCAATAAATGGCCAAAAAAACCTCATAATTAATCTTTTCGTAAACAGTAAAAACGTTAAAATCGAAGTTTTCACATTAGTTTTCACTCGTAGCAATTTACTTTCATAATCTCTTTATAGTTGTTTGAATAAATTATCAAAAAGAAACTTTTCAGCTTTTATATAACTTCTGCCCCATTATATTAGGCTAAATTATGAAACTTGTAGAAATTACCGAATATTTGTAAACAAAATAAAACAATGAGCTTAGTGATTTTTTAAAAAAATACCCCAATCAGAACGCATAGAAATTAAAATGGCATTTTTTGAAATTTTTTTTCGGATCTCTCCTTAATTACACTGAGTACACGGTAAAAAAGACCAAAATACTATAAATCATTGTCAAGATAACATTATACTACATACGTACGTACTTTATGGATGCCATCCACCCCATGATCAAATATTAATTTAGCAATTCTATTTATTTCATGGACCAAACATCAAAAAGATGGATGGACAGTTAGAAACAACAATTTACAAAAACGCAACTGATACAGCAGCACTATTACATTATAATCTAATACGCCCTCCACCCTCCGCGCATCCACCCTGATACAGCCTGATACAAAAACGCAACTGATGCAGCATTTTTCATTCATATTTCATACAAAATACCAATCAAAAAATGGCAAGCAAAAGGAGGCACAGAAAGCTCTTGCAAAAATATTAGAAATTCTATTATTGTCGATAGATCTACTTAATAGTGAAGCTCAAGAAACTAGAAATAAAGAACTTTAAAACATATAGGTAACATCATTCTGGTAAAAACTTAACAATGAAGACAAATGAAGATGTTATATAAGTCTTTTATGTAAATCTGATCCAGTTATTTCATCCTATAGAAAAACTATTTTATCAATAAAAACTCATCTTGCTGTTGTTGAACTTTTGATTTGTAAGAACTCTCTAGTTCTAGAACATAGATTTTTTTTTTATTTGTAAATTTTTTAAATACTTTTTATATAAACTTTTGTCCTTTCAGCAATAAATATGAGCTTGATATTCATTTTTTATGATTTTTTATTTAAATTATAACAATTCTAAAAAAAAAAACTAAAATAATTTTGGAACAAAAAAGGCTATTTGGTCCAACTACTATAGTAATATTTGATTATGAACTTACTCTTTACTGCTATCTGCATCCAAACATTTCTGCAAATCAAACATAACATTGACACAAAGATCAAGAATTAATGCAATGCGGTTGTATACAAATCTAATAAAAGAGTTTAAACATAAAGCAGAATTGAAGAGTTTTATTACTATAAATGTTAATAAGGTTAAAATTATAGTATATATTGGTAAGATATTATTTTAACAAATACCAAACAAAGAAAAATATTCATCAAAACAAAATATACTTTGCTTTATGTGGAAGCAACGAGCTTAGCGCTAAAGCAGTACACTTCTTCTGTTCTAAAGGCATACAGTCAATTTTTTCTAACCATACGTCCAGCAACTTATCCATTAAATCATCAACAGAAGATTGCTTTAAAGAAGCAAATGAACTTATAAGTTCACTAAAAAGATTTGGTTGCAAGAGACAAACACATGCTAAAGTAGTTATATATTCATTCATTACAGGAGGTGAATTAGTGTCTCGAATAACACAGTCTAATGCCAAAAAAAGAATTTTTTGAAAATAAATTATGGCTTCCTTAGGTACTAGTAATACTGACAACTTAACTATTTGAGTTATTTTCACAACTGATGGTTCTTTAACATAATCTAGTAGCTCAGAAAACACTTGACATAAGTTTGAGGAATAAATCTAAAAAATAAATTTGAAATAACTTAAACAACATAAATTAAGGAAAAAAACAAAATCATTGAGCCATTAACAAACCTTTAAAAAAGAAATTGCATCCAGTATTAAGTAAGCCTTTGTAATTGAAAGACATAAATCAAAGGTTTCAGAAGCCCTTTCATACAGTGCCAAAATGTTTTTAAACATAACTAAAATATCTTCATTAATTGTTTTGCTGTTTTGTATTACAGAAAGAAACAACTCTAACCCGTCTTCTAACAAATACACATGAGCAGGCTAAAAGTTGATTCAAATCAGTTTAAAAAATATATAACTTCACTTATAAATATAAAAATAAAATTTTTATTTTTTGTAAGTGGAATAAATCTTATCTTAGATACCTGATCAACTGACGTGCTAAACAGAATAACAGGTAAAGTTATTTGCCATATTCGATCACTTTCAAAACCAAGACCCTTTGAAAAAAATACAGCAAAAATAAGAAATGTAATAAAATGAAATATATGAAAGTAGTATTTTTATAAAATAGAGTTTTTTTTTTTTTTTATTTTAATTCACCTCCTCAAGGCCGAGAAGGCCACTACAGACGAGGAGGCTACTTATTTGTGGTTATAACCCTCTCTCAACTCTATAACTCCGAAACACGAGCCTTGACGAGCAAGGCTGCTGCGCGGAGAAACGAGTTGAGCGCGGTACTACCAGGGACGTGGTGGGGATTGAACTCGGAACCACTCGTTTATGAAGCGAGCGCTCTACCACTACACCACTACCGCATAAGTTAGTAATTATTGGAATTTCATAAAATTCTGATGTAAACCTTTGTTACAGACATATAACTGTCAATTTGTTAAACTTTCCACCTAAAATTTATACTTCCTACTGAATAAAATAACCTAGGGATCTTTTATTTATTAGTATATGTCAATGTACGACTCTTGTTTTTGGCACAGTATTAATAAATGACTCATATTTATTTGTATTGCATATAAAACTAAAAAACTTAAAATGACCAACCTTTTGGCATTATACATTTTATTGACAACATTTTTTTCATTTTTACAGATTCTAGAAAAAAACTTCTATTAGTTAAAACTTTTTTGAACAACCTTCACCCTACAATCAAGTTAATTTTTAACTATTTAGACAGCATTATCTACTTTTTAAACATTGCCATCTACATAATTCCACATAAGCAGATCCACACAACTCTATACAGAAAACCCACTTTTCATCTTCTCAATTTCAATCAAACCATCACCCACACATTAGAACAAGCATCGTTTACTCTCAGGTCATTCGTTACAATTGATTTCCAAACATGACAATCCTACTAAAGAACTGAAAACACTCAAAAGACAGCTGATTCTTAAAAGATATCCTTCACACATTATCAATGAGATCATTTCTTAAGCAAGATATAATCTCAACTCGCTATTAATCCTTCCAAATAAATAAATTAAATTAATCCCTTTTTAAACACTTTCTCCCCTTAGTCACACCATATTGTCACATCCAAATCAATAAAATAATTAGGAGAGCATAGCATCTAAGACAATTCAGAATTATCCATTATATTTCCTGTAAAACTACACTGTAAAACTACAAAAATACACTCATTAGTCACCCTGTGACTAATGAGTGTATACTAAAGAACATTAATGTCCTTTAATATCATTTTATTTATTTTTTGGCTTTTATTTCCTATTATACTACCTTTGCCACAATCAAGTTCTAAATTTACAATTTAGAACAGATACAATGTCTGGGTACAGCCTTTTACATTACAACGTCTAAAAATATTTACAGATACAACATCTGGGTGCAGCCTTTTACATTATAAAGGTGCATCTGTAGCAACATCTACTTTAGCCAATGTTTCCAATTCAGATACAAATATAATATTTAATGTCGATGATGATGAAGATGATTAAAGAAATAAAATATCTCTGACTTGATAAAAAAAGTTGAAATTTGAAACGGCAATATCAAAAAAAATTTGCACCAGATTACCTTAGAGTGGAATCAACCAAAACAAAAAAGATCTCACATGCTCAATAAAAAAAGAGATGTCATTTTTTGAAACAAATGGTGTAAGAGACAAATTCTTAACTTTGTTATATAATTATTTAAAAAAGAATTACAAAAAAAAAAAAAAAAAAAAAAAAAAATTTGCTAAGTATTCAATTAACCAGTGAAGAACCGAAAAGAGCTTTTTCGGCAGCTGGCTTAATCTGCACCAGAATTTGGTCAAAAATAAAAAATAATTCGCTCAACAATCTATGTTTTCTGAAGTCTTATATCAACAACCAATTGCAGAAAAAGTAGAACCTCAAAATTTTATGTTTTCTTTTTTTTCTTATGACTAACATATAACTAACATTTTACTGAATTTTGTTTTTTTACTTTTTATTTTATAAATAAATATATTTATAAAATAAAAAGTAAAAGTTTTTTTTTAATTGCCAAACAATTTTTTAATTAAATTAGTTATTTATCAGTATTATTATAGAAAAAGTAATAATTACTACCAAAATCATGGTTCGGAAACTGTAGAAAATATAAAAATGAAAAATGCTTTTGAAAATTTTTACAGTAACCTTTTAAAAACAAGTAGATTAAATGCAGTAGACTAGGATCCAGAATTAGGATTAAATGCAGTAGACTAGGGTCCAGGATTTCATTAAATGCATTAGGATCATCATGATTATGGCAAAATGATTATGACAGTATTACTTGTTACTTCACTTTTAACTTTTTCCCAAAGTAAGGCAGAGTTATTTGCAAAGAACTTTTTCTCTAATTTGACTTTTGTATAAAATGGCCTAACTCATTTTGCCATTCCAATTAAACAGATTAAGCCTTGTTATATAACCAAATCAAATTATAAAAAAAAGCATCTGTAGCGAAAGTCAATTCTCAATTAAAAACTTTTACGGCTTGTGGTTCAGACAACATTTCCATAATAGTCTTACAAAAGTGTTAACCAAAACTCTGTTTAATTGTTGCTAAACTAATAATAAGTGCTAAATAAGCGGTTTCAATACTTAAAAACTCTAGAACACACTTTGACCTCTCTAACTATCTTATTATTGTCTCTATTTTCTTTATATAAAAGCTTTAAGATTATTAAATTATTTGTTTCTAATCGCAGTATTAAAGTTTTCACATTCTCAAAGACCTATACTCTTCTTGATTTCCAATAACTTTAGGAATACAGAAATTCTATCTTTGCTTCCGTATTGTTTGTTATCTACAATAATGATCTTTCTGACAATTTTACATCTAAAGAGGCATACATCTTAGATTTGCTGACAACTCAACTTCTGTTTTGACAAAACTTATACCTCTATTTGACAAATTATACTTCTGTTTTAACAAAAAGTCACTTTTTTTTCTTCTTAAAACAAGCAGCCAATCTTAAATCTGATCTCTCTTCTGTAACAACTTGAGGTTTGCAGTAGCTTGTGGATTTAAAATTTCAACAAAAACCTGAAAACAAGTTATTTACTGCAATCAAATATCACAATATTGTTGACATTCCTATATTGAGGTATAACATTCTTCTCAGACAAGGTCCAAAAGCACATTGTAAATGTAGCTGGACCTGCTTTATTTGCCAAGCTTGCCAAGCCAATCTCAAAATTCTCACCCATCTTCATGTGTTCTGACTCATACAACTTACAACTTTTTAAGTCTTTAGTTAATCATGTCAGTAATTAATAAATTGTAAATCTATGCATAATTTTATAATATATAAAGTATGATAAATTTTTTTCCTAGCCCCAGCTATCGACCCCTACTAAATGTCACTTACTACTGAAACATCTTTTTATTATTGCAAGAACTCAATGTAAAAAGGTATTGTCTGATAGTAAAGTCCATTGTTCTCAGACCACTAAATCTTCCATTTCATCTTGTCTCAGAAATTAGGCACATAAGACTTTTGAAAAATTTTTAACAATGTCATTAATAAATCAAAGTATAACATTCCATCTATACATAGGCCTGATCTAAAATAGAAGTTTTTTTTCAATAATAATTTTCTTTGATCTTTTATTTTAACTGCAAATATATGTTGTGAACTTATAACATGTCTTGATGGTGCTGCTAATGTTGTTGCTATTGATTAGAAAGCAAAACATTTTACGGGTTTTGCAAATTGCATTCACATAAATGCAATAAATTGTACTCAAAGTGTTCAATGTGTTATTGAATCTAATCTCTTGAGATTTCTACAAACCAGAAAGTGGTTTTAATTAGGCTAAAATAAACAGGGCAATAATTGCTTTTTACAAAAAAAGGTTGTAGAAAAAAAGGGTCTTATTGCATGTAAAGAGTTTCATCTATGCAGTAAATTTCAAAATTTTCTACAAAAATGTTTTTTTAGAAGGAGAGTAGTATGTTAAATGCTTCTAAAGAAGTTCCACAAATCAATGTAATAGAAAACATCTTTCTATAGTTTCTGGCAAAAAAGATAAAAAATATGCCTCAAGAAGAGCTTGCAGAAACATTGGGAGTCAATCAATAAACAGTTTCTAATCGCTTAATACAACTGGGAATGATTCAAAAGCAAGAAAATTGGGTGCCATATGAATTGAAACTGAGTAATATCAAAATACCATTTTTTACTTGCAAATAGTTACTCGCATGACAAAAAAGAAAAGGTTTTTTCTGGATCGAATTGTTACTGGTGATGAAAAGTGGATATTTTACGACAACCTTAAATGCAGAAAAGCATGGGTTAAGCCCCATGAGCCATAAATATTGACAGCAAAACCGAATATTTATGGTTCCAAGCTCATTCTCTGTATCTAGTGGGACCAGCTCAGAGTAATATATTATGAGCTGCTTTAAATGAACTGCATATAACATGAAATTCCCAATTGGTTTAAAACTCCAAATGGTTCAAAAGATCATAGTAAATAAAAAGAAAAAACAACTATATCAGTCTCAGACTTAAAATGTCGCAAAACAAGTAGAAAACATAATTAGTGAATACAACTAAGAAATGAATTAAGTTGATCGAGCAAGATCCATTCATTTGAAAGTTGAAAAAAAACTTTATTTTTTAATTGACATCAGTTATTCTCTTGTTTAGGTTTTTCAATGTTTAATAAATTATTTTTAAATTTATGCTAATTATTAAAAAACCCTTTAATTACATTTTTACTGTTTATCTAAAGATAGGAAAGTTTCAAAAATCTTTGTGTGTTTATAAATAATTAATAATATACTTAATAAGCTATTTACGTTTTTATATTAAAAAAAATTAAAAATAGTTTCAGTAAACTAAATTTGCTGGTAAAATGCACAAAAATAACAATAACAAAAAAATCAAAACTGAAACTTGCAATAAAATGTATCATTTATGTTATATTTAATATAAAAGAAGATTAAATATACATAATTTTTTATATTTTTCTATTTTATTTACAAATGCTAAAGTTTAATTTACAAATACAAAATTTGCGTAAATTTTGTATTTAAATACTTTTTAAATTTAAATACCTAGTATACTAGATATTTAAATATGCCAATTAAATTTACTTGCTGCCCTCATGCAGTTAACAAATTAAAAGGGCCTTCATCAAAAACTTTCTCATTTAAAATCTACTGATTTAAATAAGTTTTTTGACTTATTGCTGACATTGTTTTAAAGACTTTAATATCATATTTTAAATGGTAGTCGGTAAAATGCGAACTGCGAACCGGTAAAATGCAAACTTTTTTGCAAACCAAGACATTATATTTTAATGACCACTACGGTTATGATATTTAAAAATTTGAATTAAATATAGTGTAATTTGATATATTTTATTTAAATTAGATTGTATTTCTTTTAAATTAAACATAATTTATGTTTCTGCTTGAAGTCCATAAAATATATAGCAAAATAAAAAATTTAACAGTAAACGGGAAAAAAAAAATTATATCATTAACAACCAATAGAACTATGGTTTGCAAAAAAATTTGCATTTTACCGGTTCGCAGTTCGCAGTTTGCATTTTACCGGAACCATGAGTTGGCTCTTATACCTTAAACTTTTTATTAAATGTCAGAAAGTAATGAGTTTTTTTTTTTTTTTTAAAGGATACACCTAAATTTTTAACGACACAAAAACGCTGTTTTAAAATTTTTCCTGGCCTGTACTCAGTAAAACCCTGTAAGTGTTTTTTTACTAACTTATTACTGCTCTGTTCTGTAAGAACAATGAATTCTCTTTTTGTAAAACACACACATAATACATAATACAACATATTTTAATTTTGTAATATTTTATATATATAAAATATTACAAAATGATTTATTAAATAAAATAGTTGCAATAATTATTAGTTTTATTGAACGTTTAGTTTTATTATATATTATATATAATATATATATTTAGTATTAGAACGTTTAGTTTCATTATATATTATATATAGTATATATATTTAGTATTGAAACTCAGAAATAATTCTTAGTATTTTCAAAATCTTTTTATTCATTATTTTTTTATTTAGAATGAATAAAAAGATTTTAGATAAACCAAACTTTTATTCTTGTTAATTCAAAATGATTTATTCCAAAAATATCAGTTACCTCAATAATGTTTGGTTATCCAAAAAAGTAAACAAGCAGCATAAGTTCAAGAAAATATTTACAAATTAAAAGTTTGCTACTTGTCTGGTTAAATAGAAATATTAACTGAACTCATGTTTTGTTTACTTGATTGTAAATTAAGTGTCAAAACAAATAAAGACTTATTTACTATAACTTATTTAAATCAAAAAATTTCCTTTAAAAACAACAAATAAATTTGAATAAACAATTTTAAAATAACAGTGGCTTTTTAGTTTTTTTTTTATTTATTTATTATTTCTTTTAAGTAAAATATTTTTATTGAAGATTTTTACAACTTTAAAAAATACTTTCATTCTTTTATATAGGGTTAAAATTATTGTTTTTAGCTAAGATAAGATGCTAAGTAACACTTTATCATGCTAAGTAATAAATAAAATGTATTATCTATTGTTATTTTCTGTTATTGTTGTACTCATTGTTGTTTTTGTTACAACAATCATTTCTCTAGTAACATCTTAAACTTGTCTTTAAAACTCTTAAATTTCTATTAAAACTAGATAATACATAAACTAGATAAAACTTTCTAGTAAATTTGTCTCAGTAACTTGAGTTTATTAGAACAACTTATACATGAAATAATTACAATAATTAATATATTGTAAGCATAAAAATTATAAACAGGTGCATTGTGTTTATGATCTTTATTAATAGAACTAAAAAAAAATAAAAAAAATTTAGCATCAATAAATATAACTATAGATACATTAATACAAATAGAAATACCTTCACCACATGCACTAAAACATTAATTACAGCTCCTCGTAAAAGATTATGTTCCACAGAAATCTCCCAAAGTTGAGGAAGATATTGAATTAGGAGGTCTAAACTATTTGCAACATGTCTATTTAATCGTTCAATAATAAGGCTGATAACACTAAGCACAGACATTTTCAAATCACACAATTCAACAGCAGCAAGTAGCTTACACAAAGCGGTAAATATATTATTTGCATAAGGTGTGAATGTATCTACTTCAAAATCAAAATCATCGATTGCTGTATGAAGCGTTTTGCAAGCTGTAATTTTAATGACTACATCAGTTTCATTTTGAATTATGCTACACAAAATTTCGTACAGTGTAATGCGGTTAGCCTTTGAAAACTTTACATTGATCCAACATCCAATTAGCCATATAACATGTTGATGAAGGATGGTTTGATTGGGCCCATTACTGCGAAGTATTGGCAAAAGAGTTCTTTGAAACCAACAGTCAAAATCAAGGTCGTCAAACAGTTCATATGAAGATAACCCAACAGCTTTCAGGACAGCACAACATTTTAAAAGTACTTCCATTGAATTAGGATTTCCAATATTATTAACATCATTAACACTTTGTAAGATACGTGGTATCACAATAGATTTGTATTCATAAAACAAACTGACAAACAAAGCCTCCATGCAAGGACCCAGAAGAAACTTGTGTGACTCTCCAGCTTCAACTATAGTATAATCTTCAGGATTTGTTAACCATTCTTCTAAATCTTGTTGATTAAGTGGAAAATAATTATATATAATATAATTACAAAGTTTTTCTACACAGTCATCTGAAAGCCACTTACTTTTAATAACACTTGCAGTTAATAATGGTTCACTTTTTTCTATGCTGACTTTGGCTTGCTTTTTATAAGAAATAATTATGTCTTTAAGTAGGTTTCCACAGTAAATTAAAAACAATTTAAAATCACAACTGCTGCTAGCGGTCATAATTGTCTCTAAGCAAAGTATTATTGCAGGTTCTAACAATGCAACAAATGATAATGGTTGTTGACTTATACAATCTGAAAAAATTTTCATAAATAAAATGATAGATTTTTCTGCTTTTTCTTTACATTGTAAGTTATTTTTTATTTGAAGAAGCAAGGAGACATTTTTAAAGCATCCATGAAGATATAAAGCTTGTTCTGAATCAGGCTGGAATTTTTTGGTTCCATAAATAAGAATTTTTCTGAGAACCTTTGTGACAAGAATATACATATCATATACAAGTAAAAAGTCCTCTGCATTTTTAAAAGTTGAATAACTAGAACTCAGTTCATGTAAATAGTTAAAAATACTTGCAGAGATATTTTCAAATATTTTTCTGTCTGACATTAATCTTTTGGATGCTAACTCATTCATTATTCGATTAAGTATTAACAATGAGCGATGTTGGACTACAGATTTATCTGATTTCACACCCTATAAAAAAATAAAGATAAAAATAATGTTAAAACTAATGAGCAACAATGACCACTTTACAACTCTGATTTTACAGCATTAAAAAAGAAATTTTTATTGAAACCCGTAGAAAATTTGCTTCTCTGGCCCTTCTAATATTTCAATATAATGATATAAATTTTGTTTATTGGTTTGTCTTTTTGATATTTTTCTGAAGATATTACAATAAACATGCCATAAATTAAAACCAGTAAAAAATATAAATTTAAAAAAAAAATGACTTAAATCATAAACATGTCAATGTTATTTTTAAATATGCATTTAATTAAATCAACTGTTTTATGTTACAACTGTTTTATTTTTTTACAAATTTATACACAGATTAGTGATAAAAAGCATTTCCTCTTTTTCTCTATGAATTTTTATTTTTTTTTTAAATCTGATTTGTCACTTTTTTTTTTATATACTTTTTGATTTTTTTGGGTTAAGTAAACTATATTATTTTAAAAACAAATATCAAAAAAATTATAAATAAAAAAGATTTAAGTATATAAATGAAATCAACAAAAATCTAAAAAACTAAAACATTGGAATAATTATTTTGCATTCAGTATCCAAGTAGTTGTGTGCATTGTATTCAAGTTATTTGAGTTTACTTTGTCTAAGTTAGTTGAGTTCACTATGCCCAAGTTAGTTATGTGCACTATGTCAAAGTTAGTTAAGTGCATTACGCCCAAGTTAGTTAAGTTCACTTCTTCCAAGTTAGTTGTTTGCACTGTGTCCAAGTTAGTTGAAAAACAAACAAACCTTAGATGCAAGCAGGGGTGTACCCTCATGGTTGTCCGGTGGCACAGGACAACTTGTTTTCTCCAAGAGCGACTGAAATTTAGAAAAAAAATGCCTGTCAATAGCCCAGCAGGATGACCAGACAGTTTGTTACTTACAAAAGTGTGTTCATTAATAAAACCATATTTTGATCTATGAAGATTTTATTCCTTGCGATTATATAAGTGAAAACTCTAAAAAGCATTTAATGAGTACACTACAGTGCGTTATATAATTTTACTAAACTTAATAAAACAGAAGCCGACACACGACTTAATAATTTAAAGTGCGACTGTACTGTTTTTTTAAATGTTAATATTGTATTTTAAAATACATTTCTTCTCAATTTAAAATAAGTTTTAAAATAACTTTTTCTTTCAACTTCAAATGCTAATTTATCATTTTTTAAACATAGTCACATTTTGAATCATGTGAACGGGCAGTTGAATCATTAATAACACTGAATATCTTTAGTTTTTCATTAGTAAAATAAATTTTTATTTTAACTTTGTCCAGCATTAACAAAATAAAAAGCAATATTAAGATGAACGTGAAAAATCATTATTAGAATGCAATTAATGATACGCAAGGAAATTCTTTTTTACTAAAAAAAACAACAAGTCTTAGCATAATGAAAAATGTTTAAAACATTAAAAACATGCTTTAAACATTCAACCAACACGGTCAGCACAGATCCTTATAATGCCTACCTAGCTGTCCCAAGAATGCCAATTATACGGAAAGTTAGCATACACATCAAGGTACCCTGTGATGCAAATTTTAAAATCATTTAATTTTGTCAGCGGAAAATAATTTAATTTGAATGTTCAAAGAAAGTCAAACTTTGAATTCATAGTGCGCCAATAAAAACACTTGTAGAATTTGAACCACTCAATATAATTTGATAAAAATTGGTGCAAATGTAGCCAATAGTCACACCAAATTCTGGACAAAATTTTAGCCTGATTAAATGACTGGTGTAGGATTTATTGCAGTTTTAGTTGAAGTTTTGTCAGTTTTTTAGTACTTATACCTCAAAGCGTTACCGATTACTTTGAAATCTGGTCACTATAAATAAAATAATGGTTACATGAGTGTTCTAATATGTAATACCAACAATTTTTGTTATAACTGTTTTATCAGTACATGTACAGTTTTCATGTTATAGACCAAAATAGTAATTTGCTACTTAAAGCGTGATTTGAATTGACTTATGCAAATGGTGTTGACACGGCCTTCAAAGTGGAGGCCATATATGCGCAGCGTGAATATACCAACATTTCCTAAGGTATAAACTACTGCCAGAATGCAAAAAAAAACTAAAAAAATGGTTAAGAAGGATTTCTAGGGATACCTACATAGAAAATAAAAATATTTATTTATCTGAAAACAGAACAGCTGTGAAAAAACCAAATATTTTTTATATCGACAAAGATAATTGACTTTAAAAATTTAGATAAGTTAACTTAGATATCTGACCAATACAAAGTTTGGAGCGCCAGTCGGAGGAAAATTACTCTAACTGAATAACTAATTAGGTTGAAGGGTTGTTTTGAAATAAAACAACTCGAGTGACAAGTATCATTTATTATTAAGTATTAGTTTAAAAATTTTGACAATTATCAATAATGTAATTTTCTTAAAAGTAAATAAATTAAACAATTGTTTTCTGGTAAGGAAAGAACTATTCAAGAATTATTTCCTTGTAATTTAATATTACCTCAATTAAATCAAGTAAATATTTCCTTTATTTTAATAGTTTTTAATTAATAATATGTGTTACTATGTTAAGTGGATTGTTATCAAATATAAATTTAGGTCAAATTTTGTAAAAGGCAGAGTTTGATTTAGTGAAGTCAAATTTAGTGAATTGCCACAATACCAAATCAAGCAAAGAACCATGATAAAAATCGAAAGTTTGTGTGCTTGCTCTGTCTGAAAAAATGTTTAATACAGCTTACTACTTTTCAAGCAGATTGAATATGCCAACTGTACAAGACCAAGATCAATATCAGTGATACTCTGGTACTAAAAAGATTCTGCAAATCTTGTAGAATTACTTTGCGCAGGAAACAAGAGAAAGAAGTTGCACTCCCTCCTTTGTTTGATTTTAAGTCAATACAAGTGAGACCTGAAACAAGAGGCACGATGTGTTGTTGCCTAATATGCTAAATTGGTCGTTCAAAGCTGCAAGAAAAATATCCTCTTATAGAGCAAACCACTATTGAGAAAAAACCAAAGATGCATTGCAACAAATGCCTCAGCCCTTTAGGAAAAGGTTTGCCCAACCAATGCTCTCAAATAATATTAAGGGAAAACGTTCAATCTTTAGCAGAAAAAGATGCCAAATCATCCAAACAAATCGCATCTCAAGTTGTTTCCAATAAAGAATTATCTCCAGAAGGAACTATTCTACTGGCTAAAGCATCCGGTGGGCCTCCATTTACAGTTAACCCTGGTAAATACTTATGCTTAAATAATTTTAACATATATATTGAAATAAGGTCTTGACTATTAAGAAATAACACTAGATAGATATCAAGAAGTATATTTTTGATAAGTTTCTAATTTCTTTAAAAACAAATAATTTGAAAGTTTTACACAAACTTACTAAACAAAGTTTATTGTAACTATAAAATATGAATGTTTTGGTTTTAGGTCAAAATAGTGCTCAGACACCATCAAGAACTCCGAAATTGACCACAGTAACCCTTGTAAATGTGCAATTAAATACGGGCCTGTCAAACAACGGATTAAAGAAACTTGTTAGAACTGTAAACAAAACATCAAGCAGCAAGATGGTAGAGCGAAATTTCTACATAAATTTTCTAAGACTAGGTCAACAATTGAGCGATTTCTTCACCTGCAGCGACTTAAAAATCACAGACAAAAAAACAGATTCAAGTTTTGCCTAAGCATTATTGATACTGCGTTAAGGGATGAAACCAGCTCACTGCACCAACAACAACCTCTCACTCAAAGGAATGGTAAAGATACTGGAGTTAAGAGATTATTGTTGGGGTTTCAGAAGATTTGCCAGAAACACATTCCAATACTGAACAAATCTGGTCACTGATTAATGCAAATGGAGTTAAACTAATTTTGGCTTGTGATATGAAAGTTGCAAACATAATTTGTGGTCTTCAAACTCATTCAAGTACGCACCCTTGCACTTGGTGTGACATCAAATCCAATTATCTTGCCAAATCTGGAAACTTGCAAACACTGGGCTTAATTAATTCAAGCGTTGAGTCTTTTCAGCAATCTGGCAGGGTTGTTGCAAAGCTGTTTGGCATGTCATTCAAAAGCCAATCATCTGCGGACCTGTCATTGTTCTGATTTTGGAAATCATTCCACCGATGCAATTGCATTTCCTCTTAGGAGTTGTCAACCACCTTTTCAAGATCCTCAAAACTGCTTGGATAGAAGCTGTTAAGTGGCCCTCCACATTTAACTGAGCCCGTATTACGGGGGCCAGTTGGAGGAAAATGAATGCAGGAAGCTTTTTAAAAATGTGGATATGCTGCAGCAACTTGCTGAGACAAACATGGTTCCCAATATTGTGTGCATAATTGAAGCATTCAAAAGCTTCAATTTATTTGTCAAGGCTTGCTTTGGATACATCCTTCAGCCAGATTTCGCTGAAAAAATTGAAAATTTTAAAAAGTGTTACCTAATGATAACTGGTGCAAGCGTAACACCCGAAATTCACGCAGTCTTCTACCACATCAAGAATTTCATCAGTCACAAAGGATCCCCCTTAAGGCCCTATAGTGAACAAACTGCCGAAACTTCTCATCAAGATTTTTATCAACATTGGTCGAGGTATAAGCGAAATAATAATCATCTAGAGTACAAAGAAAGATTGTTGCGCTGCATAATTAATCTAAACAGTAAGCATCTTTAAAGAACATCATTTGAGTTATTAGAAATTAGGCTACTGAAATTCATATTTTCACCATCTTTAAAAGTAGTATTAAAGAGTATTTGTATTAAAAGAGTACATTTGGTGGAGAAAATCAAAAAAACATTTCTTAAAATGTAAATAGATATTTGATGGTGAAACAATCTAAAAAATAAGGTTTAAATAGTTTTCACTTCATTTTAAAAGTAAATGTATTTAAAGAGGTCAATACAAAATATTTTAGGAAATCTACTTTTTTTTTTGTTTTACTGGTAGTCTGGTAACTGGTAGTCTAACTAACTGGTAGTCCTTTGACCAGGTTTTGTACTTTTTTTTAACTTTTTTTTTTGGGAGTAGTTTATACCTTAGGAAATGTTGGTATATTTAAGCGAAGCATACATGGCCATCAACGCCGGGGAGGCTAGGGGGTCATGTCCTTCTCTACTTTTTTTTTGCGAGGACCTTTTGTTTTAAAATATAGGCAATTATTTTAGAAATTATGGATTTATTTTAGAAACTGAGGGGCTGACCCCCTTCACTTTGAAGGCCGTGCCGACACTATTAGCATAAGACTATTTAAATCATGCTTTAAGTAGCAAATCACTATTTTGGTCTATAAAATGAAAACTGTATATGTACCGATAAAATAATTATAACAAAAATTGTTGGTATTACATAGTAGAACACTCATGCAACCGTTATTTTAAAATAGTGACAGAATTTCAAAGTAATCGGTAACGCTTTGAGGTATAAGTAGCAAAAAACTGATAAAACTTCAACTAAAACTGCAATAAATCCTATACTAGTCATCCAATCAGGCTGAAATTTTGTCCAAAGTTTGGACAAAATTTCAGCCTGTCCAATTTTTATCAAATTATATCAAGCGGTTCAAATTCTACAAGTTTTTTTATTGGCGCACTATGAAGTCAAAATTTGACTTAATTTGAACATTCAAGTTAAATCATTTTCTGCGGACAAAATTAAATGATTTCAAAATTTGCATCACAGGGTACCTTGATGTGTTCGCTAACTTCTTGTATAAGTGGCATTCTTTGGGACAGCTAGGTCGGCATTATAAAGATCCGTGCTAACCGTTCTAAATAAATTTTGATTGAAGATTAGGAGAGAATAATAGAATATTTTTCTTTTTTCACCTTTTTTGCTTCATGTAATGAAACCTTTATTAAGATTAACAAAAAGAAACCACATGAAACAGATATTAACTACAACAAAAATGATCTTTAAAAGTTGTATTTATTGTTTTCTCTTTACCCGTATCTCTTTGTAACTAAAGATACTTAACAATATTTTCTAATAGGTTATAACATTTTACTTTTTTTCATTAATTAATTTACTTTTAATTAAAGCGTTTCTTATTAGACATATTTTAGTAGTCAAATGCTTAAATTTTTTTTCTTTAGTATTTTCACCCAAGAAAAAATACTAAAAAAACTATTATATCAGTCTACTGATTATCATAGTGGACGACTCAAATGAGAAATAAAAATTATTTCAGTTGCCTGCAGAGCGAGTGTTAAATACTTGCCAGCAGTGTACTGTCTGGTACACTACTGGCAATTATATAACAACCTTTTAAAGTGCTAAAGTTAAGTGCAGTATTGTCTAATACTTAAAATTCATTTTTAAATATAGAACTTGAAATCATTATATACATACAAACCACTGGTTATAAACAGCTAATTTTTGATAAACATCAATATTTAGCAATTTAATTAAAATTATTAATGCTAAATAAACTGAAAAAAAGTAACACAACATTTAATACATAAACTGCAATATATTTTTCACTAACTATTTAATACTATGAGTATATATACCTGAAGTGCAATTTGAATTGCTTCTGGCCATATCTGAACATCAACTCTCACAATCTTTGCTATAACAACAGCAAGTTGAACTGCTAGCTTAAAAAGAAACAACTTTTATTAAAATTTAAAAATTTTAAACATTGCTTCCTAAACACTTTTGACAATAGCAACGCCAACAATTTAAGCTTTTCTTGATCTCAACAAATAACAACATCTTTTATCAGAAAAATCTGTTCAAAGATGTTTTAAAAAAAATGATGAAAAAGATTTATCACAATTTTAATGTATGAAAATATATAAATTTTCAACTTCTAATTTGCAAATAATATAATTTTCTCACCTGGCCAACAGGTTCCTCTAAATCAAGCATTATTTTACTACGTATTAGATTCTTCTCATCTTCTGGAATACCGCTAAACAGTAAACAATTTAAAACAAGAGTAAAAACGACTTTTTTTTGCTAATAATACTTCTTAGGTGTTTAAAAAACATCACACAATGTGTGTTGATCATTAACACACATTTTGTGATGTTCAATAATCATCAAACATCACCTAATTAGTTATAACATTCTTAACATTATTCAAAATGTTTTAACTCACTATGTTCAACAACTATTTAAACACAATGAGGTAATTCAGAAACTTTCCTAGGCTATCATTTAGAATAATGTATGTAATTTTGGGCATGAAACTCAAATATGCTTAGAATGAACTATAAACAAAGTTTGTAGTTCATTGTAAATCTTAATTCTGTTTGCCTTATTAATTTGCATAAACTTTTATTCATATTATGAAAAATAAGGGTAGTCAGTAAAATGCGAACTGCAAACTGCGAACTGCGAACCGGTAAAATGTGAACTTTTTTTGCTAGCTATAGTTCTATTGGTTGTTAATGATGTAATATTGTTTATTTTCCGTTTACCATTAAATTGTTTATTTTACTATATATTTTATGGTCTTCAAGCAGAAAAATAAATTTAAAAGAAATACAGTCTAATTTAAATGAAATATATCAAATTACACTATATTTAATTTAAATTGACAAGCAAAAGTTTTTTTAAATATCATAATGTAGTGGTCATTAAAATATAATGCCTTGGTTCGCAAAAAAGTTTGCATTTTACTGACTACCAAAAACAAGCGCATTCACTATAAACTATATATAAGCGCATTCGCTATGAACAAACTGAAAACAATTAGGTTTGATACAAAGAAGTCAAACCAGTGATAAATTCAAAACATGTATTTTTCTCAGAATAGCAAAAACGGACTTAAGATGTTTTGTTTTGCAGAGATAATACACACACACAGATATATATATATATATATATATATATATATATATATATATATATATATATATATATATATATATATATATATATACATTTATATATATATATATACATATATATATATATATATTTATATATATATATATATATATATATATATATATATATATATATATATATATATATATATATATATATATATATATATATATATATATATATATATATACAAATAGTATTGCGTTCTAAGGTAAGCAATCTGACATCATACTGAAATAGCCTGCTGCTGGGGGCTTCAGTACATACATCGACTGACAAATAGCCTGACTCGCAGTGGAGTGCTGCTACATCGACTGAGGGTTTGGGATGGGGAAGCAATCGTTTCATTCATCATTCTTCGTTTTTTCTTCTTCTTTTTGGGAAAAAACGGTATAGCTTAAGGTAAGCATAAAAAGTGAGCAAATGCTTATCAAAACACGCTTTAGTAAGTGTATGTATATATATATATATATATATATATATATATATATATATACATACATATATATACATACATATATATATATATATATATATATATATATATATATATATATATATATATATATATATATATATACATACATATATATACATATATATATATATATATATATATATATATATATATATATATATATATATATATATATATATATATATATATATATATATATATATATATATATATGTATATACATATATATATATATACATATATATATGTATGTATGTATGTATGTATGTATGTATGTATGTATGTATGTATGTATGTATGTATGTATGTATGTATGTATATATATATATATATATATATCTTATAACAAGTAAATTTAAATTTAAAAACTGGGATCAGTGCACCCCTAAATAAAATTAAAATGGTAAACATACATTTTGCCACATCTTCTCCAATATTTTTGAACAGTGTTTTTTAAACAAATTATTGCCATCCATCGTACTGGGACATCAAGATCTTTTCTGATAAAAACATCCTAAATATTTTTAAAATATTTTGTACAATATTTTAAAAATATTTACAATACAAACATTAATAAAATAAATTTTAAAAAATCATTGACAACTTTTAAAAAATGAAATTAAAGCAATAAAATATTATTAACGCACAAAAAAAAAATTTATCATGATTTTGAAAATAGTAGTTGATATTAGATAGATATTTTATGTTTTGATACGAAATATTATGGTTAGTACATTTAGTATATGAGCAATTTAAAATTTATGGGTAATTTAAAAAATATTGTACAATTCAAAAAGTTTAAACCATACTCTTATGTGGTTAATATTGTAACTTTTTCTTCAGAATGACTATGCAAACACACACACACAAATTTCCTTTATGTGACTACATAACAGTTCACATAACAGTCCTATGTAGTCTAACAGTTCACAATACTTTAGAAAATCTCTATATTTTTATAATTCTTTATAATACATCTAAAATAAAAGAATTATATTAATACAAAGATTTTATATGTACCTAGAAAAATTGTTAACTATTTATAATATGTATTAAACACCCACAAGCGTGAAAACAAAACTAACAGAAATTACCAAAATATTATCCAACAAAGCTCTAAGCAACCACAAATTAGAGTTGGAAGTTACTGGAAGAGAAAAGATGAAGATTTTAGAGCAAGATAACAATTGACAGACGAGTTGAAGGATTGCAAATTATATGAATCAGGAAAGCAAGATGAAGGAAGCGAATTCCAAAGAACTGATGTTCGAGGAAAAAAACTAGAAGAATAAGAGTTTTTGGAGCACTTAGGAACAGTCACATAAAAAGGATGAGACTTAATTGAATGATGAGTAACATGAGAATAAATTTTAGTAAATGGCACAAGAGACACTAGCTCTTTAGAGCAGTGCCCATTATAGTATTTGTAGAAAAGAGAAAGAGAAGCAACACTATGACGAAGTGATAATGGTTGGAAGTTGGCTGCAAGAGCAGGTCCAACTATGTTTACAGTTGAGGTGGGACATAAAACAAATATAGTTATAAAAAAATAAATACAGTTGAGATGCGACATAAATCAAATATAGTTATAATAAAATAAATAAAGTTGAGATGCAACATAAAACATAATAATAACAGTAATAAAATGCTTTATATTAATCTTGTTAATTCTATATAAACTTGTAAACATTAACAATTAAAATAAAATACCAAGAGCATTGATGCAAATCCTGGACTTGATTGCCAAAACTCAATCTTTTCTTCAGCTAACTTTACAAGATTTACATCTTGGCTCGAGGCAGCACGCAATACATCAATTAACTCGTTGCTCATTGCTATAAAAAAAATATAAGAGCACAAGTTCTTGCATTTATTTGCTCAACATTCTTCTTGCATACATATATATATATATATATATATATATATATATATATATATATATATATATATATATATATATATATATATATATATATATACATACATACATACATACATACATACATACATACATACATACATACATACATACATACACACACACACACACACACTAAAATTGAATATTTTTATAATTTAAATTTTCAAAGTTTCATTTTACACAAATAATTGAAACTAAGTAACTTATTAAAAATATTTATGTTTGTCTTCAAAATTATCTTTACAATATTTACAAAAAATATACTTGATATCTATGATAAATAACAGTAAAAAAATTTTATGAAGTTATGTTATGCAAACTTTTTCTAAAATTTCATTCTGCAAACTGTTTATAAAATTTTACTATGTAACTGTTTAATACTATAAAACTCAATTTAAATCTTTTTTTTTTGTATAGTTCATCAAAGTCTGCAAATTTTTTAGACATATCAATTAATTATTTTAACTTTAACTTTGACATTTGTTGAAACTTAAACGCAAGGAGGGTAAAATTTGTGAATGAATATATATTTATATGATGATATATAAAGATGAATATAAAGAAACATTGATGCACTCAAAAAACTTATTTTACTCAAAAAACTTTTTTTTTAACTGCATTATTCTTAAATTAAAAAATTCAAAAAAATCTTTAATATTAAATAATTTTTAATTTTAGTACATTAATGAGTACAATAAGTTTAAACAAATTTTTATAACAAATAAGTCTTGAATAATATGACCTAAACCTTCCTGGGTCAGAATCTCAGATTTTCTTGAAATTTACTCTTATGGAAAAAAAGATTTCAAAAAATATTTTAAAAATATTTCTAAGCATTTTCAAGTTATAACTATTTATAAACTTGAGTTGTTGTAAAGTTGTACATAAACATAAACTTTCCAAAAACTTAAATTTTAAAAAAGCATTTAGATTTAACCATTTTGGACTTGGATTTTATTTAAAAAATCACCAAGAACAGTGGTTCCTAACTTTTTTTGTAGTCAAGGACCTCTTTCAAAATTTAAGCAATTGGACATGATAGTTATTTAATAAGATGGTTGCTGCTGTTTCTTTTTAATAAGCACACTTAATTGAGGAATTTTATTAGAAAATGTAAGATACACATTGCCTTTGATGTCTAGCTGGTTACCATTTTTTAGTTTTTCTTGACACTAATGCTGAAAAACTTGACACACAAAGGTAAGTAGCAGCAAACGGAATTAATATGGACATTGCTTGTTTAACAAGGAGATAGTAAGCTTGTCCTAAACTACACCAAAAATTACAAACAACCTTTGCATGAAATTCAGCTTGCATTTTTTAATTAAGATCTTCATCAATGATATTAATCATAAATAGCCTCGCACCCAAATCTTCTGATTAACGCTTTTAGGGCAAAAGTACTCTTCAAAATAATTCTGTTGTGTTTCAAGATGTCAGTTATATAGGCAAGCCCTTGCAAAATAATATAGTCTCCAGAATTTGATACAATGCACTTTCAGAAATTATCTTTCAGAAATATCGAGACTTCTACACATAATTCTAATAAGCACCTCAAAACTTGTCACCTAGCTTCAATTTAGTTTTTAAAAAGTTATACCCTTACCTAAAAAGTTTAAACCCTTGGTAAAAGTTTTTACCCTTAGAATGCTTAAAGATATGTTAAAACTTTAAGGAAATCTTTTATTTATAAAACCTACAAAAAGATATAAATTTCCAGAAAATCTGAGATGGTAATCTGGGAAACTCTTAAAAATTTGATTTATATAAATTTATCTATTTTCATGCATTAAAATAATTTATTACATAATAAATAATAGTAATAATTACAGTAAAGGTTAAAAGTTTTATCAAATAAAAAAATTATTTTCTTTTATAAATTTTTATCATTACAAACCAACTATTAAAAAATATAACTACAAAATTATCTCAGTTCAACTTTTAGTTGTTTTTGGACTTGATTTCTTATTTCTTCCTGTAACATATTTACTTCAGAATCAAATAATGTTCTATCCATAGCACGGTATGTAATGCGATAACAGAAACTTTGTTTTTGGGTCTTTGGATGAGTGAACTGATCAAGCAGTGTCATCTATTAAATATAAAATTGAATGATAAAAAAAATTCAAACACTTAACACTTTATTTTATTACTAGGTATAGACATTTGATGATTTAAAAACATTTCAATTTTTCAAGATTTTTTCTACAGGGAAAATTATTGAAAAAATGAAATGTTTTTAAAATCTTTTGAAAAAACCTTTATTTCATTCACTTTATTTTTTATTCAACTATTTATTTTCTGATAATAAAACAACAACTAGCACCTTCCCTGATTATGTTTATGACACCTTTTTCAGTTTAGTTTTTGTTAATTTTTTTAAACTTGACTTGTGATCACTTCTTAATGTACAGTATATGTTTTTTTGTTTTTTTTATCTATCATGTGTTTGATAACTTATAGGAATTGTAGTATTTATTAGTATAAAGGTGATAACCATTTCCCAAAAAGTTCTTCATTAAATGTAAAACAATGCTCCCATTTGACCCAACAAGTGTTTATTTGTAGTTGTCTCTCCGGAATAGATTTTTATTTTTATTACAATAAAATCACAATCAAAAAGCTCATACATCTATATAAAAGCTCATACATCCATTAGTGATGTGCCATCGGCCAGGGCTAATTAAGGCTAATAATAGGGTTTAATGTATGTTTATAAAAATAATACCCTAAAATTAGATATGCAATTTGTATATATAAGGTATGCCTATGCACCAGTTTGATTTGGCTTATTATCCGATGCTGATGCATTGGCAAATGCTGATTAACCAACTGATGCCATCAGCCGATTAATCGGCCAATGGCTAAGCTGATTAACTGGTTGCTGGTTACTAATAGCATAGGTTAATAGATCGAATCACTTCTGATGAATAGGTACATATTGAATATGTAATTTAAACCTTTAATATTATTATAATACCCTTAAATAAATACATTAAACCTATTATTAGCCTTAATCAGCCTTAGCCGATGGCACATCACTAATATCCATATAAAAGCTCATATATCTGTATAAAAGCTCATACATCCATTTATGGATGTATGGATATCCATTTATGGCCTTTCTAAAGCATCATTGATTCATCACTGGAATATTCTTATATATATATTTTTTTATAACTTTTACTATGTTGCTAATTGTATAATCAAAATGATGAAGTCCAAATAATCTCACATAAGTCTACTACCACAATTTTCATTGTCAACAAAGGAATGATTAATTAAGCACGAATTTCATAAGTGCAAACTTGCATAAGTGCAAACTGGCATAAGTGTGAAGCAGTTGCAAGGCTCGCACAAGTGCAAATCAGCATATATGCAAACTGGCATAAGTGTGCCAAATGAATTTGCAAAGATTGGCATAAAAGCAAATAGGCATAAATGTGAACTGGCATAAATGCACCAAAATTTGTTAACATTGCCATAAGTGCAAACTGGCATAAATGCAAATTGACATAAATGCAAAATGCCAATATGCACTTATGTTAATATTTGCAATTTTATTCAGCGCACTTTGCAAGTTTGCACTTATGCCAATTTTTGTAACTGCTTCACACTTATGCCAGTTTGCTCTTATGCCAATTCGCACTTACTGTTTGTAAATTCTTTTGGTGCACTTATGCCAATATTTGCAACGCTTCGCACTTATGCCAGTTCACACTTATGAAATTTGCGCTTATTCAGCCTCCCACCAACAAAATGCCAGAGCTGTAAATTATCTAAAATGCCAGAACAGAAATTAGCTAAAATTTATCTTGTGAAATTGTTCTAGAAAACAGTGGAAATCTATGATGACTGTTGTTAGTCCAGTAGCATTCAAAATCAGTTTGTCGCATTCAAAGGATATCAATTTGTCACATCCAATACAAAGAATTCCAAGAAATTGAAACATATTTTCATTGACCACATATCTTCTGTATTGATTGGTTTTTAATCTTTATTATAGAACTTAATATGAATGAGAATAAAGTTGCAAATAAAGTTAAGTAGTGTCCCTCAACTGTAGTGGCGAGTTAATAAAAAAATTAAAAAAAAGGTTAATTAAAAAATTAAAAAAAAATATAAATATAAATAAAAGCTTATCTGAAACAATTAGCCATAAGAATTCTGTTGAAAATTTATTATTAAAAATAAAAAGTAAATTTACCAAATTTATTATTTTATTTTTACATTTTATTTTATATTGTATGAGGAATATTTTGGGGTATTTATAAAAAAATATACAGTATTTTATTTTCACTAAAAATCAGCATATTAAAGCGCAGTACATAACTAATTAAATTTAATACTTTTACAGCGTTCTTCTACAGTGTATTATATCACTACAGAGTATTGATGTTTTTTTTCTTTATTCTTCTATTAAATTAATGTGTTAATAAATAGTTTTAATAAACAACAATAATAATAATGGATAATTAGCAGTTTGTTTTTTTAAATAACTATGTTGATTTGATTTAACTTGCTAAGTTTATTGTATTTAGATATGCTTAAAAACTAATTATTTAATTAACTAAATTATTTTAAAATTTCATCTCACTTTTCATGTTTAACTAATTAATTTTTTTTTTTTTTACATAGCAAGTTATAACTGAAATTTTTTAAAAAAGAATTTAACTTGTAAAACAATACTGATGTTTATTGATATCAACTATAAATGAATTAACCAGAAAGATTATAAGCCAGAAATTTCCTTCACAAAAAACACAACATTTAAAAGTTTTAGCTTAATGAACCTTGATAAGTTTTTTATGCTTCTAAGGTTTATTTATGAACAAAACTTATTGTGAACACAACAATAAAGTTTATTTAAGATATGAACACAACTTGTCTCAGCACTTTTTATTTCTTATAAAGTAAATTAAGGAAATGTTATTAAAAATATATTTAACTGACTCATATCTGATGGTATTGATACATGTTATTTTTATGTTGCACATATTTTTGTATAGCATACCACTTTATTATTTAGTTTCTTTGTCTTGTTAATTTTTTCATAATCTAGTATTACAGTATGGTTAGCATCATCACCTATTCTTAAGAATAGGGTGCATCACTTTCTAATGAAACATTAAATATAACCATTGCTTGTTTCATTGATGGAGATTTAAACCAGGGGTGTGGAGTCGTAAAAAAAAAGTAACGACTCCGACTCCAGTTATTGAAATATTTTGAGTACAACTCCGACTCCAACTCCAACACCAAAGCAAAATTTTTGAAAAATTCTTTGAATTTAAAAAAAAAAATTATGCGATAAGTTAAAAAAAAGTTTTTTGACAAATTTATGAAACGTTCTTTGAGGTTTAATTGAATGTTTTATACATGCATGTGCAATACCAAGAAGTTTTACTATTGGATTCGGAGTCGCGATTTTGTTTAGCGACTCTGACTCTGCTAAAAATGTTGCAACTCCGACTCCACAACCCTGATTTAAGCACAATTATTTTTCTATACTTTGAAATTGTTTCATAAATATGTTTTAGTCATTAAAATGATTAAAGACATTGATAATATTTGTTATATTTCTAATAATGTTGGTACAACCCTATAAATGAAAAAAATAAACCTTAATAATGTTGGTACAGCCCTATAAATTGAAAACGGAAACCTTAATGAAAAAAAGAAAATTACACAGAGAAACAATTTGAGTGCAGTAATATTAGGAATGTTTAATCAGGAGTTCAACCTAAAAATCTTTTGCTTACAAACTACTTTACCACTGCCACATGTGATAACTCACTCAAAATATATCAATAAGTCAATATAAATATTATTAAAAATACAGTATACCACTAAAAGAAGACAGATTATCAATATAAAAATAAATTATGAGGTAAAGAAAAGGAATTCTTTTGAATAGTAACTTCTATTGAAATATAAATTTATTTATATTTTTGAAATTTGTCATTCCAGCTAACACAAAAAACGTTTAAGTACGTTCAACGCACGTTGAGAATGTTGAGCATGCTTTATGAATGCTCTGTAAATGTTTAAGAAAATTTTTACTTAAGGTTCACTGCAAATGTTCTTTTGATACTACTTAAACGTTCTACTTAAACAAGCAATAACGAACACGAAAGTCTAGCCAACAATTTTCTTTTTTTAATTTAACTTAATGTATAAATATGTAAGTTTAGACAGAAAAATGTTTAAACCTACATTCACTACATTTTTATGTAATGTAATGTTTTTTTGAACTTACCCTTATTTATTTGTTGATTAAGTACTAAAATCAAAATGTTGATTAAGTACTAAAATAAAAGTTTATTTGTACAAAACAAAACAGTTTTACAACTAAATACACCTCATTAAGCATATTTAAGAGCCCATGATTTAATTATTACATTTCAACCATAAGGCACACATATAGCCTATTTTACCTTTAAACTATACTAACGCAAATCTTTTGGTATGAAATTTAAATAAGGAGCTAATTAGCACTATAATAATAAATATTATCTTGGATAATAACTTTGTTTCATATACAGGCCTTGTTATGAAGCGTTACATCATTTGGATTTTAAGTACAAAATGGTGATTTCACATATGCATTAAGCAATTTACATTGCACAAAAACTTTTTTAATTAGTTTATTCAAACAGTCTTACAGTTTTTGTTTTTTTTTTAATTATTAATTCACCTCCTTAAGATAGAGAAGGCCACTACAGCCAAGGAGGCTACTTATTTGTGGTTATAACCCTCTCTCAACTCTATAACTTCGAAACATGAACCTTGACGAACAAGGCTGCTGCACGGAGAAATGAGTTAAGCGCAGTACTACCAGGGACATTGTGGGGATTGAACTTTATAATTAATTTATTAAATTAAATTTATTATTAAATATTAATAAATATAAATTTTTAATTTAATTTAAATTCTTTTAAAAATTTTAAAGTTTTATAATTTTTTTTATTACTATGTTCGTATTACACATAACTATTTTTTTTAAATTTCAGTTTTGAAATTGCTTTTCAACAAAAGTTTATTCTTTATCATTAATTTTTTGAATTGATCATAAACTGAACGTTGATTAAA